CAACTTGACCGCTTGTTTGAGGATGGTAAGGAGTTTCCACCTTATGCTTCACACCATTCTTCTTGAGAAGTCCCTCAAGCAGTTTGTTGATGAAGTGTGAACCTCCATCACTGATCACAACTCTTGGAACTCCAAACATTGGAATGATGATGCTCTTGAACATCTTGATTACCACTCTAGCATCATTGGTGGGGCTTGCAATAGCTTCCACCCATTTTTAAACATAGTCAACAACTACAAGGATGTATTTGTTGCCAAATGATCCTGGAAAAGGCCCCATGAAGTCAATACCCCATACATCAAACACTTCAACTTCTAGGATAGGGTTTTGAGGCATCTCATTCTTTTGGTGACGTTTCCTCTTCTCTGGCATAAATCACACCTTGAAACAAACTCTTGTGCATCCTTGAACATGTGTGGCCACCAAAATTTAGCTTGTAGCTCCTTTGCAACGGTTTTGAAGGTAGCAAAGTGGCCCTCATAGGATGACCCATGACAATGTGTAAGGATCCCATCAATCTCTTCATTAGCAACCACCCTCCTATAAAGTTGGTCCTTGCAGAGGATGTAAAGGTATGGATCATCCCAAAAGTATCTCTTCACATCTTTGTAGAACTTCTTTTTGGCATAGCCTACGAGATTCAAAGGTTCCTTTCATGTGGCTAACTAGTTCAGCAAATCAGCATACCAAGGTTCTTTCTCTTCTGTGGCCTTGACTTCTTCGAGCTCTCTACCAGTCTCAAAAACTGCCATCACTGCTCCAATAGCCATGATCTGCTCTTCAGAAAGTCCTTCATCAATGGGGGCGCCACACTCTACTTTCAGCCTGGACAAGTGATCAGCTACCCCATTCTCAACTTCTGGCTTGTCCTTGATCTCTAAATCGAACTCTGGAAGCAAAAGGATCCATCTCAAGAGCCTAGGTTTGGCATCTTTCTTGGCCATAAGGTGTCTCAAAGCATGATGGTCTGTGTAGACAATGACTTTAGATCCCACTAGGTAACTTCTGAACTTCTTAAAGGCAAAGACAATGGCTAACATCTCTTTCTCAGTAGTATCATACTTCATCTGAGCATCATTCAAAGTTTGGCTTGCATAGTAGATGACATGAGTTTTGCCATCTTTCTTCTCCTTTAAAATAGCTCCCCCAGCATAATCGTTAGCATCACACATGATCTCAAGCAAGTAATCATGGAAGAATGGAAATCACCGGATCTTCCACCAGAAGCTAGTATAATGGAGCATATTGCAAGTTGCAGACGAGATTTGTGTGACTGGAAGAGACAACACTCTAAACTCTGAAAGAAGTGTGGAAGAGTTAAAGGAAAAAGTAGATCAGTTATCTTCAAACGACGATGCCTCTACTGAGGAGATCGCAGCGGCTTTAAAAGAATTATCTGATGCTCTTAAGGCAGAGGAGATGTTTTGGAAGAAGAAGTGTAGGTTTTTTGGCTACGAGAAGGAGACATGAATACAAAATTTTTTCACGCTCTTACGAAGCAGAGAGGGCAAGGAACATGATTACAGAGCTTTTGGATGAAGATGGGAATGTGGTACAGGATGAGGAGGGACTTGTAGCCATTGCTACAATTTATTTTAGACATATTTTCCAATCATCAAATCCCGAGGAAATAGAGGAAGCACTGTCTGAGGTCTCTACAACCATTACACCAGTAAACAATGAAAATCTCACAGCACCAGTTACTGAATGGGAGATCAAGATGGCGCTTTTTGCGATGCATCCAGAGAAAGCTCCAGGGCCAGATGGAATGACTACGTTTTTTTACCAGAAATTTTTGGATATTGTAAAAGAAGATTTAACTCTTATGGTTAATAAATTCCTGTTTGAAGGTATGATACCCACTGGTTTGAATGAAACCAACATATGTCTCATTCCGAAAGTTGATAAGCCAAATCAGATGAGTCAGCTACGCCCTTTCAGCTTATGTAATGTTAGCTATAAGATAATCTCTAAGGTCTTATGCCATAGGCTAAAGAAAGTTTTTTCAGATAGAATCTCAGAAACCCAGTCAGCCTTTGTTGCGGGGAGGCAGATCTCAGATAACATTATGATTGCTCAAAAGATGTTCCATGCTCTAAGAACCAAACCCAGTGGACGTAATAAGAGGATGGCCATTAAAACGGACATGAGCAAGGCGTATGATAGAATGGAGTGGTCCTTCACTGAGGCTACCATGCGGAAGATGGGTTTTTCGGAAATCTGAATAACCTGGATAATGCGATGCGTAACATCGGTTAAGTACAAGGTACTTATGAATGGACAACCAAGAGGGAATATTTTCCCGGAGAGAGGTCTATGGCAAGGGGATCCTCTGTCCCCTTTCATTTTTATTCTATGCATGGAAGCACTCGTTAGCCTTCTTAATCACGTAGAGAATCAGGGAAAATTAACAAGGATGCGTATCACGCGTGCGTGTCCATCGGTATCTCACCTACTCTTTGCTGATGATAGCCTTTTCTTTTGTAAGGCGGAGCCCCGTGAATGTGAAGAAGTAATGAAAGTGGTCAAGAAATATGGACAAGCTTCTGGACAATGCATTAATTTTGACAAGTCATCTCTACTCTTTAGTAAGAGAATCGGACAAGACGTCAGGCAAGAAATTAAATCCAAACTGAACCAGGGATGAGAACTTACTTAGGGATTCCAGAAGATGTCAGTGGTTCTAAATGCAAGCTCTTTGCCTTCCTAAAGGACAAGCTTAGAAATAGAGTAAATGGCTGGACGGGCAGGTGGCTATCAAAAGGTAGAAAGGAAGTAATGATAAAGTCAATCATGCTAGCTCTCCCAACCTATGTGATGTCTTGTTTTCTTCTCCCATTGGAGATATGTGATGCCTTGGCTAGTGCCATTGCACAGTTTTGATGGAGCTCAAACCCACCAAAAAGGGGTCTACACTGGTCAACATGGGACAAGTTATGTTTATCCAAAGAGGAAGGGGGAATTGGCTTTAGGATGATCCATGAGTTTAACCTGGCGCTGTTAGCCAAGCAGTTGTGGAGATTGGCTCAATACCCAGATTCCCTGGTAGCTCGAGTTATGAGAGGTCGTTACTATTGTTTGAGTTCACCCTTGAGGAAGCTCCCTGTCAGTAGCCCATCGTATGTGTGGACAAGCATCTCGGCTGCACGAGAATTATTGTTGCTGGGGGTTAGACATAAGATACATTCAGGCTATGAAGTGAAAGTATGGGAGGACCCTTGGATTCCCACAATCCCAGCGAGGCCAGCGACTTCATCTGCTCCGGTTTTGCATCCGAACATGCGAGTGAGTGATCTTATTAATCAAGAAACAAATTCTTGGGATTTGGATCGATTGGCGAATTATGTTGATGCTGCTGACATACCTCTCATAAGGAATATATCTATTAGTTCAACTCATCGTAGAGACACGCATTGCTGGAGTTACAGAAGGAGTGGGCAGTACACAGTCAATTCCGGCTATTGGGTCGCTCGAAATATATTGATGAATGAGGATGATAATATAGTGGGTGAACCTAGTATTACAAGACTCCAAGCACATGTCTGGAAGGTCAAAGCTCCCCTGAAGATGTGTCATCTTATGTGGCTGTTACGAGTGCTTTGAACCATAGACACATGAGATGTGACAACTTTTGTCCACGATGCGGAGAACCGGAAGAAACAATTGCACATGCAATCTTTCTATGCCCAATTGCATTACAGGTGTAGGCTTTAGCATCTATACCTACCAGCTCAAACTTATTCTCACTGCAGAGCACATATGCGAACATGGATTATCTATTCTGGAGGAAGAAGACCATAATGGAGCCAGAATTAGACAGAGACCCTTATCCTTGGCTAATATGGTATATTTGGAAGGCTCGGAATGATAAGTTGTTCCGAGGAATTGATAGAGATCCTATTGAGTTAGCCCGGTATGCGGAGAGTGAGTGCCTTGCCTGGTTCCAAGCCAATGAGTACGAAATTGTACCAACACAAGGAACATCGATGCTGGAAATCAGGTCATAATCCTTGGAGATATTTGTATGGTAGACGGTTCTTGGACCTCTACAGATCAATTCTCAGGCTGTGGTTGGGATTGGAAGGACAGAATGGGAAATAGTCAGTTGATGGGCATGCGTAATGTTAGTAGGGTGGAGTCCGCTTTGCATTCTGAGCTGGAAGCACTGCGGTGGGCAATGAAGAATATGCTTTAACATTCGCCATGTCAAATTCGCCATGTCAGAACTTTAGGACAGATTGCAAGGAATTGATAGCGATGCTCACAAACCCTCATGGATGGCTAAGCTTTTTGACGGAACTAAAGAGGCTCTTGACGCTGCGGATCTGCTTCCCAAATTTCAAGTTATTTTATGTGCCTAGGTCCCAAAATGTTGTGTCCGATTGTTTAGCTAAGACTGCTAGATTCTTCTATCGTGAACTGATGTATGTTGGTTGTACTATTCCGATTTGGATTCCCAAACCACCTCAAGTTTGAGTAATAGACCAGTCTTTCGTTGTTAAAAAAAAAAAAAAAATAGTAATGCACCACATGTCAAAGCTCATCAACATACGTTTTTCATTCAGAAGATGAACCTTTTGTTTTTTATTAGCATTAGAGCAATCACATCGGTGGTGTTTCACCGAGGATCTGAACATTAAAGAAATATTAAACTTATGTGAGCTTAATGATTTGCTTACTCTATTTTTTGTGATTTATAATTTGATAAATAAATACACTAAACATCTACTATCATATACTTAAAGGAATATCAAACCCATGGGCATGCTCTCATGTGTTTAGTCTACTATCGTGCCTTGCTATATATGTATTTAATGTTAGTCAAAATTTCAACACATATTTTTGGATGAGTATGCTTATTTTTTCTTAGTTCGTGTGCTTCTTTATATTTATACAGTCATATGTCTATCTTAACAATATAGGAAAAATGGTTTGTGAATATTACTTTAAAATTGAAAAGCACTTTCTTAAGTTAAATGAAGTGCAAAATGGTATAGGTTTACTTGTAAGAATTCTTGACAAAACTCCATCCATTTACATCACAAACATATGAACATCCCTCAGTTCTTAGAAGCTCAAACCCACCCACCTGAAGTTTGAAGAACCATTATAAGAAAATACAACTCTGCAAATAACCAGAGGATTGGATTCAGAACATTACCGCTTGTTTAAATGCAATGCAAACTTGTGTACAACCTTTTTCTTCTTATATATGTTAACTAATGTCTCCTCTGCATAGAATGAAGCAACAGTTGTTATGCTCCCACTTGGCTTGCTTCCTTGTATATTCTCTGCCTACAACTT